AAGCCTTGTAGCTGGCCCTGGTTCTGGGGCCCACTGAATTGGAGCATCACCTTACCTGGCTGGGGGCCGGCATGGAGTTGGCAGGTGCTGAGGAATGAGAAATTCAGTTCAGCCTGAATCCCTGCACCCTCCCAGTGGAGATTCCTGCAGGCTGCTTCTGCCATTCCTCCTTGCTGCTACACGGCCACCTGCTGCTGCTGAGGTTGATGCCCCTGTTCCACTGACCTGGGCCAGCTGGGGGTTCATCTTCATCAAATCAAACCTGGTTACAAGTGGCAGGTGGCTGAGACAGGCCCTTAAGCTCCCCAGAAACAATCCTGGTTTCATGTTCCAACCCTTCCTTACCTTTTCCCCAACATTCACACAGGATTGTCACATACCCTTGTGCAGGCTGTATACTGCACGATCTCATGGGGAATACAAATCACAATGGCTCCTGATCCACATATTCTTACCTGTTTGAGAATCTGTTTGGGAAAGACTCGTTACCAAGTCCCTAAATAGTAGTCCCCTGGGACAACGTATATGACGTATATGAGAGTCAAGAAAAGAACCAGTGAAAACCAGGGATCATCTCATAAAGTTCAGAGACCGCTTCCACAGTATTTCATTGTATACATTTGTCAAACGCAGATAAATAATTTCTATTCTGCTCACTTCCCAGAAATATTATAAGGGTAGGACACACTCATGGATGTGAAAATACATTGTGAAGAAAAAAGCATCAAGGAATGAGAGCAATTTTCCTGTTGATGACTATCAGCTAAGCAGTATCTACAGAGAATAGACTTTATGTTCTCTGAGAACCTGTAAACATGTGTTTCCTGTGCTCTCTGCAGCACTGTGAGCAATCCATGCATGCACTATAACGCAGCAATGTGGGGCAGTGCCGAGGATATCTAAAACAAACTAGCTTTATCCTCCTTATGCCAAGTTGCTATATGTGGAATTGTTTTAAAATCAGTAAGATTAGGAATCAAATGAATGAATGAATATATACTAATTTATCACAGGGTGCCTAAGACAAAAAAAAGAAGGCATTTTATATGAGAATATCTAACCTAAATGTAAAACCCGAAGCTATAAAACACTAGAAGAAAACATAGGGGAAACATGTCAGGGCATATATCTAGGGAAAGATTTAATGAGTAAGACCTCAAAAACACAGGTGACAAAAGCGAAAATAAGTAAGGGAAATTATATCAAACTAAAAACCTTCTGCATAGCAAAGGAAGTAATCAGCATAGTGAAAAGACAACCTGTAGAATGGGAGTAAATATTTGCAAACTTTTCATCCTCTACAAGGGGTTAATATCCAGAATATATAAGGAACTCAAACACCTCAACAGCAACAAAACAAACAATGCAATTTAAAATAGGCAAATGATCTGAACAGATATTTCTCAAAAGAAGACATACAAATGGCCGACAGCTATATGAACAAATGCTTGACATCACTAATCATGAGGGAAATGCAAATCAAAACCACAATGAGATATCATTTCACCCTTGTTAGAATAGCTATTACCAAAGGTACAAAAAATAAATAAAATACAGTGAAGCCACTATAGAGAAGAATATGGAGGTTCCTCAAAAAAACTACAAATAGAACTACTATATGATTCAGCAATCCCAGTAGGGGGCATTTATCCAAAGAAAAGAAACTCAGTATATGAAAAAGACATCTTCACTCCCATGTTTCTGGCAGCACTATTCACAAGAGCCAAGACATAGAATCAACCTGGGTGTCCAACATCAGAGGAATGGAGAAAGAATATGTGGTGTCCACAACGTAATACTATTCAGCCATTTAAAAAAAAGAATGAAATCCTGTCATTCGTGGCAACATAGATAGACCTGGAGGACATTAAGTGAAATAAGCCAGAAACAAAAAGTTAAATACTGCATGTTCTCACTCATATGCAGAAGCTAAAAAATGTTGATCTCATAGAAATAAAAAGTAGAACAGAGGATACTAGAGTTTGGGAAGGGTAGGGAAAGGAGAGGATAGAGAGAGATTTGTTAAAAGATACAAATTTACAGCTAGATAGGAGGAATAAATTCTAGTGTTCTATAGTACTGTAGGATGACTATAGTTAACAATAATATGCATATATAGTTTCAAATAGCTAGAAGGAGGATATTGAAGGTTCCCAACACAAAGAAATGATAAATGTTTAAGATGATGGATATGCTAATAGCCCTGATGTGGTCACTAGACATTGTACATATCAAAAAAATCACTATGTACCCCATAAATATGAACAAATATTATGTGTCAATTAAAATGTTTTTAATTAAAAACAATTAAAAATTAAAGATTTTTAAAATAATGTGTATTATCTATATCTCTCCTTGAAGAATTTATAATCCAATCAGAGAAAACAGATTAGCCCAAGAAACAACCAGAAAATAAATCGAGACAGAATATAATCAGGCTGCAAGTGGGGTGTCCTTTCACTGATGCATTCATGCTTTCCAGGACTAGTTATTAGGTACCCCCTATGGTTTGGCCCTGTACTTGGTGAGGGAGAGGTAAAGTCACAGCCACATCCCCAAGTTCCCTAAAGTCTAGAGAAAAGATAGACAAAAATATCAAAGATGCTAGGGCAAGGGATATACCCGGGGGTAGAGGTTGCACAGAGAACTGTAGAAAAACACACAGGTGGGAAGCCAGATGAGACTGGGCTTCCAAGGAAGACTTCCTAGGAGAGGCAACGATGGGAATGAGTTTTGAACAACAAGCTAGGAGTTACTGAGATTCAGTGGGGTGGGAGTGGGGGTACTCCAGGCAGAAGGAACAGTACAGAAGGTGGATGGGAGTTGCTTTAACAACAAATTTAGGAATTTGAGCTTGATACTGAGGTTTTAAGGAACCTCTGGAGACACCTGAGATGAGGGTGAGGGGGGCATGATCAGATTTTCACTTTAGCAGATTCACTCTGACAGCCACAGTGCGGAGGTGGTATTGGAAGATCTAAGAGGCAACTTGAGCTTTCCTAGAAGAATTGGGACCCTTTGTCCCTAAATTGCCTCTCTCACCAGTTCAATGACACTTGGCATTCCATCGGTAAAGCTGTATTTCCTTAACCCCAATATACAACTGTGAACCCTTGACCACTGCATCACCCTGGGAGAATGGAGTCATACTCCTGGCAACCCTCGGCCATTTACACTGAGCGTGAGCGAGTTTCAAGTATCTTCCTGAGAATATTATTTTTATTTTGTTATTTTATTATTTTATTTTATTCATCTAATTGATTTTTCTAATTGCTAGTCTGCATAAAGTCCTGTGATACAGATCAGAAACACGGTTCTCTCCTCCATAATTACAGCCCAGGAAAAGGAAGGTAGGTAGGAAAGGCGATGGAGCAGACCAGCAAACAGATGATAACACAGCACAGCGTGTGCAAGGAAGGAGGTCTGCACACAGGGAGCAAATGCCCCTGCATTCTTTCAAATACCTCTCCAGCACCTATGGGATGCCAAGTGGCGCTCTAGGTAAGAATCACATGGCAACTAGTGCTGAGCACCTGGACCTTATGTCTGGGGGAGGAGAGGAACAATAAACAAGAAAACAAATAAGTGCATAATGTAATTGCAGGCAGAGATGATACTGAGGACTGAGGGTTAAGAAGGAGATGACCCAGAGGATGAGAAAGGGTTGGGAAGACCACAGGTGCAAAGATGGCTTGGGAACTGTGGTTGGGTGGGGGCAGGTGATGGAGGGGGAGGCACAGACAGTAGACCAGTTGCTGGCCTGGGTCCTGAACCTGAAGGGCTTCCTGTGTCAATCTCCAGTCGGAACTTTTTTTTTGATTTTTGAGACAGAGTCTCGCTCTGTTGCCCAGGCTAGAGTGCGGTGATGTGATCTCAGCTCACTGCAAGCTCTGCCTCCCGGCTTCATGCCATTCTCCTGCCTCAGCCTCCTGAGTAGCCGGGACTACAGGCGCCCGCCACCACGCCTGGCTAATATTTTGTATTTTTAGTAGAGATGGGGTTTCACCGTGTTAACCAGGATGGTCTCGATCTCCTGACCTTGTGATGCTCCCACGTCGGCCTCCCAAAGTGCTGGGATTACAGGTGTGACAGTTGAAACTTTAAGAGAGAACAATGAAACGTCATGAAAGTGTTTTAAGTAGGGAAGAGAAATTACCAATTTCATTGTTTTCAAAAGTCACTGTGCTTGCAGAGGGTGACCAAGAAGTTGAAGGTGTCTCATGAGAAGGGATACAGCCTGAGGCAAAGCAGGGACGGCCGAAGGAAGGAGGAGGAATGGAACACGGGACTGGCTGTGTGTGGTGAAGAGGAGATGGTGTCAAGGGGGACTTGTGCATTTCTGGCTCAGCTTTCCTGGAAGGATAATGCTGCCATCCAGTGAATCACAGGACCCAGAAGCTTGGGGACAAGAGAAGGCAGAGAGAGTATGGTAACAGGCTCTGTGGGCATGTTGAGGTGGAGAAGTCTGCAAGCAGCTGAAGAAATGGGTCTGGCTCTGGGGACTCGCAGCTGAGCTGGAGATGCAGGTTCAAGAGACTGGGAAGACCCCCAAGTACTGAGGAAAGGGGGCAGAAGGACAGGGGGGTGGCTAGCAGGGGGTGTCAAGTCACTGTCTAAGGGAGAAACTGCTCCACAGTTGGGTCAAGTGCTCAAAGAGCAAACATCTGTGTATCTGCCCTGTGCATTCTTAACCAGGCCCGGAGACCCAGCCTAAGCTTTGAGAAGGGAGGGAGGGAGGGATAAGGGAAGGAAAAAAGGGAGAGGAGAAGGGAGGAAGGGATGGAAGAAAGAAGGAAGGGAGAAAGGAAGGAAGAGAGGGAGGAAGGAAACGAGGGAGGGAGAGGCAGGCAGGCAGGCAGGAAGGAAGGAATGAAGGAAGGAAGGAAGGAAGGAAGAAAAGGTGAGCGACATATAAAGCATATAACAACAGTTTTCTGTGAGGGGAGGGCAGTCACAGGAAATGGCCCTGTTTCTTTCCCATTCTCTTTCCTGTTTCCTGTCCTGGAAAATCATCTCAGTGGTTCCCCTCTTGGTTTTCCACATGACTAAACTCCACGGGGCTTGAATGATCAGGTTGCCAGGCTGCCTCTCCCCAGTTCCTCCAGCTCCCACAGAGCCCACAGGGACCTGCAGATCTGGGCGCCCTGCCCATCCCCTTCTTTCCCCCACCACACCTGGGAGGGCCCTCACTGGGGAGGGGGCCAAGAGTGGGTCTGACCTGGGATGTTCAGATGCTCACAGCATGGAAAGCTCCATCCGGCTGCTGGCCTGCTTGGCGTGTGTCCTCCCGACAGGTGAGTGTCTGCTAGTCTCTCTGACCCATGCTCGGGACAGAATAGATGCTGACGGCATCTTAGGTACAGTCTCCCCTGGAAAGCGGGAAGTGCGTGTGCACAGGGCCTCCAGGCCTGTAGAGGAGGAAGAGCTGAGCTTGGGGCCTGTGGTGCCAGAAGCCAGACGTTCAAATCAGTGCTGTGTCTTGGATTTCAGGTGACTTGAGGCAGGCACCCCACGTCTCTGGCCTCAGGGTGGTCGCCTATATAGAGGCCACTTACCCTACTCATTCCTTCGCGGATCCAGAGGACAATAGGCCAGGTACAGAGAGGACATGACAGGCTCTGAACAAGCTTCATGTGCTGCTGTCACCCAAGTGCCGTGTGTTTTGATGGGCACAGCCTGAGGAAGAAGGGAGGGGAGCACAGGGGCGTTTGGGGATGGTGCTGGTGCATGGGAGGGGGTGATTTCATGTGGGGGATATATTGAGGGACAGAGGCCCTCCCAGCAGGAATCCCAATGGGTGAGTGGAAACTCTGGCAGGTTTAAGCAACAATGTCATCAGTCACTTAGCTCAGTGACTTGGTATCCTGGGAACAGTGTTTCAAAGGGCACAGGGGCCATCTGCGTCAGAATCCCCGGGGTTAGGGGAGGGCATTTGCTAAAATGCAGGTTCTTTGGCTCCACCTCAGACCTGCAGAATCAGAGTATCAGGCAGCAAGGCCAGGAATCTGAATTTTCACCACCTTCTTGGGTGATTCTCATGCTTGATGCAGTTGAGGGCACCTGGGATTAATGGCAAAGGCAATCCTCAGAGCCCCTCTCTCCAGATCCCAGTCCTTCCCCCATCCCCATCCTAGGACTCAGCATCCATGCCACTGTATGCTCGGCCATCACAGGCCACACGCTGACATCATGGTGTCCAGAGCTGTAAGTCAACATTCCCTGTATGGGGTCCTGGCTCCACAACTGGATGAGAAACTCCCATACCTTAGACCCCTTTGCCCTCTCCTCCAGCGTTGCACTCAGACTGGAGTCCAGCTCGGGGCTGGTTTGGGCAGTAACAGCAAACCTCTGCACAGCTCTCACCACGTGCTGGGCACTTTAGTAACTCACGTAAGCCTCATAACCCTATGAGAAAGGAACTTTGTTTGTTTGTTTTGGAGACAGAGTCTCACTGTCACCCAGGCTGCAGTGCAGTGGCGCAATCTCAGCTCGTTGCAAACCCTGCCTCCCAGGTTCAAGTGATTCTTGTGCCTCAGCCTCCCAAGTAGCTGGGATTACAAGTGTGTGCCACCACGCCCGGCTAATTTTTTACACTTTTAGTAGAGACAGAATTTCGCCATGTTGTCCAGCCTGGTCTCGAATTTCTGACCTCAAGTGATCAGCCGGCCTTGGCCTCCCAAAGTGCTGAGATTACAGGCGTGAGCCACCGCGCCCAGCAGAGAAAGGAACTCTTCCCTACGAAACATTCCTTTTTCACAGATGAAGAACATGGGGCCCAGAGAGGCTTGGCAAGTGGCAGGGGTAGAGCTGGGATTTGAACCCAGGTGTGTGGGGCTTTTGGCTGGGCCCCCCACTACCCCCCCACACACAGCCATGGACTCTTGGTGGGCACTGACAGGGAAGGAGCTATCTTTTCCCAAGTTGACCTAACTTAGCCATCTTTTGGGGATGATTTAGGGTTGGGTCCCGCTGAGACAGTGGTCAGACCTGAGTGGCCGATGGGAGAGGGGTTGAGGGTGTCGATGTTGGCAGCAGGGAAGGTCTGAAGCTCGCCTCTGCTTTTTACTGGCTGCACGGCCTTGGGCAGGCTGCCTACCTTTCTTGAGTCCCTGTAAACTGGGGTCCCTGCCACCTTGAAGAGGTGCTGGGGAGGTTCATTAGACACTACATCAAAGGCCCCCAGCACAGCTCCTGGCCCTCAGTGGCTGCTCGATAAACGGCCATGAAACCTTGCCAAAGTCACACTGTTACAAGAGAGCCGAGGCTTTGGGGATTTTAGGGAGTTTTTTTTTTTTTTTTTTTTTTCTCCTGCTACGGGTCAGCTGCTATGAATCAGCAAGAGACAAAGGATTTAGAGGAAGCACGGGCTGTGGAGTCACATGTTCAAAAACAAACGCCAAACCGCACACCTGCTCTGTTGAGATTACTGAGTGCAGCCAAGACACTCACGTGAGCCAACTCAGCTGCAGAAAGTCGTTTTCTTTACAAACAGCAGCTGCTTCACAGTTAGAACCAGGGTGGTCCAGGCCCCCACTTCCTGCCGCTCTTCTGGCTGCTCTTCTCCTGGGAGCCTCTCCTCGTGGCTCAGCCAGAAGACGTCCAGGCCACGGCCTGGGCAGGAGGCCCGAGGAGCAGGCTCTGCCCCACCACCGTGCGTGCACCAGAGGCTCTGTGAGCAGACGCCCGTGCCAACGCGGGCCCGAAAGTCATGGTCCCTTCCCTGGCCCAGAACAGCCCCTTGGTGAGAGAAAAGTGAGAAGCATTCGTCCCAGAAAGGTCCCTTCCACTTTCCATGTCCTCCCCTGCAGGCAGGAGACTCCCGTACTCGACACCCAGTGCCCAGCAGCCCCTAATCTCCCAGGGGCTCCCCACATAGCCTCCCTTGTCCTCCCTCATCTCCCCCCATATCTGCTTTTAAGAAGCTGGAGATGCCAGGGAACGTGGGGCAGCGGGAATAACACTGGCCTGGGAGCTCCAACCACCCAGGTAACCTTGGACAAGGCCTCAGGTGGTCCTCAAGCCTGTGACAGGCAGGTGTCACAACCACAACCGCTGTCATCTTCAGGACCCCTTGTGCCAGGCCTGTGACAAACAGTTCATTTACTCTTCAGCACAGCCTTGCAAGTGAGGCTCATTGGGGTTTCAGTGACTGCTGGAGCCTAAACGGGAGCCAGAGGCTTTTGAGTGGGTGTCCACTTTGCCCACACCCTCCTGCAGTGGGCAGGGAGCCTGGGCGAAGCCTGGCGTGGAGAGCGATTTACTTCACTAGTTCTGAACTGCTGCAGAAAAACAAACCCAAATGGCAAGACAAATAGCAACGGTCACCTAAAGATGCAGGGGTGTTCATTCGGGACGCAGGGAAAGGTCGGAACCAGAGGAGATGGGCTGGTGTCACAGCCCAGGAGGAAACGGGGGGCTTTAACGAGCTGGGGCGCTTCTCTCCCAGTAGTTGTTGTGAGCAGTTTGCTTGGACTCAGGATGTCCTATCTAGGGCGGGAAGGGGAGGAGTGAAGGAGCAGGGCCCACTATGGAGGCTGGGCAGGCGGTGGGGGCACCAGCAGGGACAGGCTATATCGGGCCTCTGAAGAGCAGCACCCTGGGGTAGGCACAGGCCCCACGGCAGGGTCAGCCTGTGGCCCTGCCTCTCCATCAGCTCAGGTAAGCAGGGCCACACCCACGCCACAGTCAGCCTGCGGCAGAGGCATGGGTTAAAGGGGAAGCCAGATAACCCTGAGGCAGATGGAGACCAGCTGGCCTTTCACTGACGACTCACACCTCACCCCTTCCCGGGAACCTTCAGGGTCTGGTTTGTGCTGACGGTTGGAATTTCTGCTTCCTCTCCCTCCTCTGCTCTCTGATCTCCACCCCATTCTTGCCCTTTCTCTGCTGATAACCTGTGTTGACAACCTACAAGCCCAGAGAAAGATTTGTAGGGAGCAAACCGAGGGGTGGGAGGGGAAGGGCTGAGCTGCAAAAAGCCTCAGCTCCACCTACATACCTACGGGTGAGGTCGACAGCCAACGGCAGTGTCTCTCCTTGCCCCCAAAATGCCCTCTCCTGGCCCTCCAGGTGCCACAATGCTGGAAGTTCCACCCCCGGAGCCACTCTCCGGGAGCACCCGTTAGCATGCCCAGGTGCCCTCAAGGAGGGTAGCCCCTCCCAGATTGTTGGGCTCCTCAGATTGGCCACTTGTCAGCTGGTAATGTCAGCCATGTGGTGGGGGCAGGGGCACAACAGACGTCTGAGGGACTCCAGCTCTGAGGGCCACAACGCTGTCCCTCCTGGAGGCGTGGTCTTCCTACAGTGACTGGCCCCCTTGGCTCCATCCTTCTCTTACCCCCTCAAAATCCATGTCACATAAAGCCCACCCCAGCAGACCTAATTCTTGTTAAAGTGCCATTCTGTGAGGGTACCCCCTCTGGCCATTATTCCATCACGACTACCACAGGACTCACTTTCCTGTCTGTGACACCCTGGAGAGGGTCTTTAATTCCAGGCATTAGCAAAACCTCCACAGACAGCGAGTGACCCGTGCTCCGCCATGAAACCGACAAGCAGCTTTCTCTCTAGTTAACAGAAGTGTGTGAGAACGCCCACAAAAGATCTACACAGAGGTTCCCGTGCAAATTCCTGCTTTGCTTTCTTCCTTACCAAGAAACTGGTGGAAATCTTTGGTCAGCTATGGTGAAACCAAGGTTTCTGTTTCTGCCCCTATCCAATTGCACCTTCTCCTGGTGTAGGCTCCCCATTTCTGTTTCTGTCTCCCTGGAGCTGTCTGCCTATTCTGTCACCACAGGTATAGGGGCTTTGGGAGAGTAAGTTTGGCATCAGTCAACTACTCCCTAGTGAAATCATGATTACAATGATGTGAGAGCTAATGCCCGATGCTGCAACCCTAATCCTTCCTCCTTTAGATCGGTCACTGCCAGGAGGCATGGAGGGAGCTACAGGGGGAATTTCGCTATGAAAGACCATCAAGGCATGGATGCTTCTTTCCAAGTAACTTTTCCAAGTCGCTTTTCTGAATACCTAAAAGTCCTTTGATTTATTTTAGCTAGATATTTTTCTTTCTTTCTTTCTTTTTTTTGAGACTGAGTCTCACTCTGTCACCCAGGCTGGAGTGCAGTGGCACCATCTCAGCTCACTGCAAGCTCCGCCTCCCAGGTTCAAGCGATTCTCCTGCCTCAGCCTCCCAAATAGCTGGAACTACAGGCACCCACTGCCGTGCCAGGCAAATTTTTTTTTTTTTTTTGTACTTTTAGTAGAGATGGGGTTTCACCATACTGGCCAGGCT